ATTATAATAAATTACAAAGTAATTATACAAACAACTTTATTAGAATATAAAAAGAAAGTATATTAAATAAAATAAAATAAAAATAGACAATAATAAATTTTTTTTTAAATATTTTATTTTGTTTAATTTGATTGGTTGACCCGAATTTTATCAGGTCAAGTCATAAGCTTGATCTGACCTGATGTTGACCTGAAAATTTGTCTACCCGACCTGGATTTTTCAGATCAGGTCACAAGTTGACCTGACCTGATTCAGAGCTCTAATTGAAAAAATGATCCTGAACTATTAAAACAAATCTGTCTTGTCGATGTTAAAACTATGACAAACTCACGCTTGATCACAGTTGTATATGAAAACTAATCTAATTTACTGAAAGCATTTGCATTATATTGGAAATGTTTAGCTCCAGATATACATATAGGTAGGGTTTCACAAATTGATTTAATATTTGAATATTTGATTTGAAAATCAAATCAAATACAAATTCAAATTTATATTTAATTTGATTTGATAAAATTCAAATGAAAGAATGATTTATTTGATCAAATTCAAATTAATGTTTGATTCAATTCAATCAATTTTAAATCAAGTATTCAAATATTTGATTTAATTTAAATTAATAGTAAAGCCATCTTCAAAGCTTCAGGAGTGGTACTTACTAAAAAACCATAGTAAAAAGCGTCTATGCAGCTTCGGAAATGCCTTTTTTACTAAAAAAACCATAGCAAAAAATGCCTCTACGGCTTCAGAAACGTTTTTTTACTAATAAAATTATTAAAAAGCTAAGATAGCGATTATTACTAAGTTTTCTTAGTAAAACTGAAGCCACGATGATAGTTATTACTAAGTTTTTTTTAGTAAACCGAAGCTGTAATAGTGGTTATTACTAAATTATTTTATTAAAACTGAAGCCGTAATACTGGTTATTACCAAGTTTTCTTAGTAAACTGAAGCTGCAATAGTGGTTATTACTAAGTTTTCTTAGTAAACCAAAATCGCGATAATGGTTATTACTAAGTTTTCTTAGTAAAACTGAAACTGCAGAGTTATTTTACCAAGTTTAATAGTAAAAATTCATCTGTTACTAAACTTACTTTGTAAAAGCTACCTTTGAAATTTTTTAGTGCAATTACTAATAATTTTCCTAATTACAACTTTAGAATAACTTTATTTTAATATATGAAAGATGGTCAGTAGAAAAGGAAAAAATCTAAAATTTGGTCAAAATTTATATTATTAAATCACTTAGCTAATCTTGATTATGTGCACAAATTTGGCTTACAGCTAATTTCATAATTCGTGGACCACTAATAAATTGCGATTGAATGCGACTGAAAATATTTTATAATAAAATTACTATAAAATATTGCGACTGAATGCGACTGAAAAATTATTAATGGTCCATGAATTATGAAATTAGCTGTAATAATAAAAATTAACAAAAATTTTAGATTTTCCCCTTTTTTACTGACCGCTTCCCATATCATTATAAAATTAAAAAATTTTATATTTGATTTAATTTGATTTGATCAATTTGATTCAATTCAATTCGATCAAATATTTGATTTGATTTAATTTGACAAATATTTGATTTAATTTGATTTGATTCAATCAAATTCAAATCAATTCAAATTGATTCAATTAAATATTTGAGTTCAATCTGATTCAATTTGATTTGATTCGATTTGAAAAATCAAATCAAATTCAAATTGCTTAAATATTTGATTTGATTTGATTTGATTTTGAGAAACCCTGCATATAGGTTTTAATGATTCAAAATATGACTAGCTATTTATTGTGAAGAAGGCGAAAAAGTTAAGCGTTTTACAATGGATATTCAATCATATGTCACTAAAACCTATGAGTCTCGAAATGTTTACAAAATGGTAATATTAATATAATATGATAAAAGTAAATAATGGGAACTTCTATTCAAGACATCTTAAAATTTCTGGATGTGTGGCTATTTATATCTGACCCTGTTTTAAGAAATTCTACCCTAAAGCTGAAAAAAGTAGTCTTATATATTACTTAAGAGAGTGTAATCTTGATAACAAAGTGGATTTACCTATTCACTGTATGAACAAATATTATAAAATGGTATTAAAAGAAACTAATGCCATAACAGCTGAGCAGATACGTGAAGTAGCCAAATACTACATTATCGATACTCTTAGCTGTCAGCAGTTAATGATCAAGCGTAATATAATCAATGAATATAAGGAGGTTGCAAGTATAGCATTTATATTATTATTTGATACGTATTATTTTGCAATAGGAATAAAAGTGCGTAACCTTTAAGTACCGGTGTATGATAGGAAGGAAATTTAACCAGTACAATTCTATGTGAACAAAATGAAATAGGAAAATACTCTGGAGCTTATATTTTTCCGCTGGTAAAGGATCTCAAAAGTAAACGTCCTGTAATTGACTTAGACTTTGCATCATTATATCTGAGTCTTATCATGACATACAATCTCTCACCTGATAAAATTATTTTATCTTAAAAGTATGTCAATCTCTAAAGGAAAGCGGTAAACAGCTTCATGAAATAAATTTCAAATTCAATAATCAAGATGTTCTTGTGTAATCTATAGAGCATGAAAACTAAGCCAAAATAAAAGGCCTTTATCCAAAAGTATTAGAGGGTTGCTAATGTTACGCCAGTTCTTTAAAACACTCGACTTAAATAAGTGTTATGATTACGTGTGCAGAAGGTTTCCTTTGTAAAGAAGATAAAAAACTTTGTTATAATTTTATAAGTATAAAGGAAATATAATAATTCACGTAGAATGAATGATTAACAAACAAAATTATAGTATTGCCTCTGTCAGCGCGTCTGTACTAAACAGTTTATTTATTAAAGACTTTAAAACTACTAAAACTAATATAAGACAAA